GAAGGTTTTTAGAAAGCATGGTCATGGAGATAAGATCTGCAGTGACACTCTACAATATATGTGTTTGTCAGTGTACCAATTGTATAAGAGAGGGCAGCTCAAAGGAATAGTGCCAAGGAACAAGTTTATGGATGTTTTATTGCTTATTGGGTCTTAAACATTATCGGTCCAAGTGTCACATATCCGCTTCTGTAAATTATAACGCATGCGTTTCAACGTCAGTAACCTTTGACAATTTAGGACTCTTACAGGAGAAAAAAGACAAGATGCAAAATCCATGGTTTCACCCAAGTAGTAATGACCGACGACATACCTTATGTTTTGACATAATATGCTGATGCAGAAGGAGAACAGCATCAGCGGAAGGTCATTCAGTTGTCTCCTGACAAACGCTCTTTTTTACCTTATTTAAAGGAATGCGGTTATGTTTGCAAAAATATTACAAATATAGTTGCTCACCACCATTCTGTAAGAAAAATCAGAAATATTTTATGACTAACATCAAACTATATAGAAATGTTTTAGAACAGAAAACTACTAAATCTTTCTTCTCAACTGTTTCTTTGGAATGGGTTTTCATAATGGCTCTACTAATGATCCCGACATCAAGAAGTCATTTATTCATTTTCTTAGAATCCCGAGAGACAACGGATTTACTACGTCAAGGTTTTCTCAGCGAAGTCTCATGCGACCTATCGCAAGTGGCTGGACACATATACCGTAACTTGGTAGCAAAGCTTCTTCATATCCTGCAGATTTTGAAAACCATCACGAGAAAACAGCTCAGACATCCTTGTATGTGCATGTTATATTGACTTTGAAGGTTGAATACCATGACCATTTGAAATGGCACGTTGAGACATCATAACGAACGAACCTTTCTTTAAAAGAAGACGGTTTGATACATGCCACGTGACAACCGCTGCTCACAGCAACTTAGCATGTATGCCCGTCATCAAACTAAAAACAGAGAAGTCAGCTAAACCACAAGGTTGCAGAGAAATCTGCCATTAATTGGGATTAAATCAGAGAATTCTTCAAAGGATTTTTTAGAATACAATAAGCCATTGCTACGGTTGTGAAGTAAGCCTCGTTGATGAACTGCTGCTTTTATGTTGAAGCGTTAAACGCTGGCATGGAAATGACAGAGGGTTCAAGAAGAGGAGAATACAAACACGACACATGCCTCGAGCACAATTGTTGCTCGTCGATAAGAACATATAGCTTTCATTTACAGTTGTATTTCTTTTGTGGAATCCTATTCCGTTATTAAAACGAAAATGTCCTCCGGTGTTTTGATGCTCCTGTACTGTTTGACTGCGAAAGTATTTCAGCCTGGTTTTGTTAGATCTGTAGAATGATAATCGTTGTACGGGGACTATGTAACGTAAGTCGCAATAACACAGCCTAACAGAGGCACTACAAAGTCGGACAATACGGTAAAACAAACCCAGGCTGGTTCCCCATGTGTATAGTGAATTCTCGTTAGAGCGGAACCCGCTATTAAGTTCCTCCGTACTCAGAACATCTTTATTTAAGGTGAATTATTGCATAACCTCGATATTTACGACAGTTATTTCCACTCTTCACGGTACTGATGCCGGATTGGTTAATACCGTTTTGCTGGGCAACAAATACTTACCTTCTATTCTGCAAAATGGGAGCGTCGGCACTATCTGTAGGGCACTCTATAAATAGAGTTCTAAATGCCCCTGTCAGTTATTACTCTGCGGCAATTCATGTTGTCGATGCTATTTATATGCTTCTGAGAGAAAACATAGGAATAAAGAATTGATTGAAGACTAATCAGTAATTGATAGAAACAACTCAACATCGTGTATTAATGAACATGCTGGTTATTTTCCATTATTTTGACACGCAACCGAAGCATGTCATCAGACCAAATATGGAAGAATATTTTTAAACTACAGTTGAGCGATGACTGACTGATTGTTGTCACTTCAAGCTGTCTCGATCTAATGACGATAGTCGAACTGTGACTGCAGATTCGAGAATACACTGTATAAATGTGGAGTTGGTTTTGTCAGTTTCGTGCCACGGCTTCCCATCAGAAACTCCAAGGAATACAGAAACATTACAACGTTACTTTGCGAGTGTTAGTGAAATATTGATGACAGCAGGTGTGTACCCGTTCAGCATATATCGTTTTCTGGCCTTGTTCCTGCTATGTATTCAGTAGAGCTCAGCGATGTGCAGGCTGATATATTTAGACGCTTTAGGGTCAAGGGCGGTCTGGAATGTTCTCGAGCACCATAGATTAATTCCGCATTTTATGGACATTTCCGAAAGATTAAGAGATTAAAGGAGAAAGCGTTTATCTCTATCATCTTACAGTACATCGAGACCAGCAGTTGTTTTGCAGATCAAATTTTCGCCCAGCTCAATATCCAGCCTTGGGCGATTTTGGAAGCTTCCCCACAGTAGCTCCTAGGTTTGGTTTGGTTGTGGTTTAACGCTGCACTCAGCAGTATGGCAGCTGTCTGTAAGTAATCGAGTCTGGACCAGCCAATCCGGTGATAAACAGCATGAGCATCGATCTCCGTAACTGGGATACGATAACATGTGTCAACCAAGTTAGCGAGCCTGACCACCCGATCCCGTTAGTCACCGCTTCCGACAAGCACGGGTTGCTGAAGACCAATTCTATCCAGGATCTTCACGCGTGTAGCTCCAAGATGAAAATTATCATTCCTGGCTTTATCGCTATTACCACTGAAATCATTTTCATTGCCATCGTGACTGTTTTGTTACTGGATTGTTACTGCTACTCTGATAATAACTGCCTATATGATTACCGCGTGTATTTTATAATAGAGTTATAAAACTGAATTGAACGATTCCGAATATATCAGAAGCGTGTATTGATACATAAGGAGATACTACCAAGTCAAAAAGAGGATATTCATTTCCGAATATAGCTTTTTTTGTATTTTTTTGGTGAATTATTTGGTCAGATTTGCTAGAAATATTTTGTTTCAAAATGGGCATAGATTCTTGTGGTTTAATCAGTTAAATTAGGTTTGAGTGTAATTTCTAAACGAGTGAATGATCTATCACGTCACAAATGAATTTGTTAAAGACGTGTGTAAAAACATCAAGATTTTACTAACAATTAATATATATATATATACACATTTACACACATATGTTCTATATGTGTGTGCGCGCGCGCACGCACGCACACACACACACACACACATGTTCTACAGCCAGAACGTTATTTGGTACATATTAAGAATCGGTTATTCAAGGAATGCTTATTTCTGTTGTGGGAATCATTGTGTAGGAGTTGATTCTGGACGAAAAAATAGTTTGTACGAACAAAGATTATGTTTATTTTGTGAAACTGGGTTTTTTTCAAGAACGTCAGAGAAGTAGATTTTTTTTTGCTGATTTGTCCATGGTTTGGGAATTTATAATAACATGTGTTGATGATTTACATTGATACTAAAGTACTGAACGTAAAAAGGGGGGACTTTTCTTAAATGTATTGTTTGAGAATTTTTGGTCGGATGGCCTACATTTCCGAAGTAACAACAATATGTATGTGAAACTACAAACAACACAGAAACGTTATTCAATAGACTCTGCTTTTAGAAGAGATTTTCATTTGATGATGAAAAGAGTTTATTCAATGTTTATTCAATGTTTTGACGATTTTACAAAAATAGGCAATTATATCTTATATTGCATCTCTTGTTCCATGGAGCCATGTGTTCACTGGTGTTTCTGTTTTGTATAATCGTTGTACTTAATTAAAATCTTCTGTTTCTTTTTCAACTAGCTCAGATTTTGTTATTCCACACTATTTGTTGGCTTGACATTATCAGCATCCACGCGAACAAGACGTCAGCGATATTTATAGCTTTTCCCGAGGCTGCCACTTCCGAATCCTCGTTAATTATTACGTGTGCATTTCACAGAGAGGAGGAGAGTGAGAGAGAAGCGAAGTCACTATCGCGGTGGTTCTGTTATTTTATGCCCTAGTGCCCGTCAGTTTCTCCATAATTCCTGTCGGCACCAATGAATCTCGTCCCATGGATGGACTTTATGTTTCCCGATGAGAAGCTTTGAGATAAAAGTGGAGAGATGTGCCAGTAAACAATTGTTCGCATAACATAACTCATACTTTGACAAACAAATCGAACGTTATTAAGTTTGGAAATATCCTCATTAAAACTGAGCAAAACAGTGGCGGCATTGCAACATGATAGCAGCTTGCGCTGCGTTATAGGGTTCCGTAAAAACAACGCCAACAGAAGATTATACACTGAATGAAATTCGTGTTGGAATGTAATAATTTGTAGTCTCAGAACAGTTTATCTTACGACTGCATCGTGATGGAATTGGTGGAGACACCACTGTTAGTGTGTAACTAGTGATACCATATTTAGACACCACTATAATAAGTTGTGTTATCTCTATAATTAGAGACTTGATATAAGATAGAAAATACATATTTTATCCCTATAATTAGACTTGATATAAGATAGGATTAAGTTAAGTTATACCTATAATTAGAGATTTAATATAAGATAGAAATTACTTATGTTGTCCCTTTTTTCCCTATTTTCTGGGGCGGTAGGGTAGCCTAGTGGCTAAATTTAAAGCGTTGGCTCGTCACGCCAAAGACCCGGGTTCGAATCCCCACATGGGTACAATGTGTGAAGCCCATTTCTTGTGTCCCCCGCCGTGATGTTGCTGGAATATTGCTAAAAGCGGCGTAAAACCAAACTCAGTCAGTCAGTCAGTCATAGTATATTTCAGAAGCTTTTGATCTAATTGTGACATATCAATCCTTTTTTAGTAGAGTATAAATCCAAAAAATATTTGGTTTAGGAACAAATCTATAGCTCGCCTTCTAAAATATAATTTTAACGATTCATTTTGACACATAAGATTACCAGTTTGTTCCCAGTGACACCAAACGACCCGTGTAACCTTATCTTTAAATCCGTACTTCAGCGTGGTTGCGACCCCTAGTCTTATCAGCCGCACCCTAGTTCTGTTACTGATTCTTCCATTCAGCTCGGTCTGTCAGCCATGATGCACGTGGGGATCCTGTGCGCTCTTTTGGCGATAGCCACGCCCACAGCTGCATCCGAGTCCCAGAAGAGTAAGTGCCGTCCAGTATTTTCAGAATTTACACGACCTCGTGTGTCGTTGAGGTCAACTAGTCTGTCAGTCAAATTAGCTGTAGATCCATATGATACATGTGATGACTTATCAATCAAACATATGTTCTTATTCCTCAGCATCAGGAATTGTTATCGCGACACACGAAGTCAGGTCATGGACAATGCACGCGGTGTACAGCGGATGACATAGTAGGTTATCCGACCATTGAAAATATTTCACTGACTCGAAATCAAAATCATTATGTGTTCAATCTTTCAAAGGGATGGTTTCGTCATTACGATATGGAATGTTAAATCTCTATCTACTTCTGGAGGAGCCTGTTGATCTTGTTAATCCTTCAAAACATTATTGTGATTTAGAGGTTCAATTCCAAAACAAATAAACAAGTCCTTGTGTTATACATGCCCTTTGTTACAGCAAACAGAAGCCATATCACCGGGCCTGTTTTGTTTTTTGGGTATTTATTAGGCCTCTACGTGACACGTGGTCATCTGCATTCGAATTTCTCCATCTGGTTATTTTCACATATCCAAGAAACGCATTTTCTCTTCGGTCTGTTGTTAAAACACTGGAAGCATTCTCTCCAAAGGGAATTGACATTTTTTACACCTTCTGCCCATTAAGAAAGCTTTGAAATACTTTTCCTGAGAAACATCGTTAACCCATCCTTTCTTAGTGTTTATTTTGCCATAAGCACGTCGTTCCGCTGACTAATAGAACAGCCGGTTCACAGAGGGAAGATTTGGGGTTTGTTTAATCAGGTCTCGCTTGCACAAACGCCAGGCTAAAGACCACTCAGGGGATGATTATCGATATTTATCGACGTTACGGCGACCGGCGCTAATTAAATCCAACTGAGTACAGCAATTTAGTGGAAAAGGCCAATAACAATGTCATATGAGAAACCGAATACAAAATAGCGAAATTACATGTTGAGTGTCATTAATGTCAAATTATAGGTCGTGTTTTATAGAGGAACACAATATGAAAACATTACTCATTGATGATTCCATAACGTTATTACAAGGCGCGCCTTCTCTGCATGCAAGAGACTGTGTGTAATGCAGAGAAGGTTCTCCGTCAAATGAAAATGCGATTCCTTATTTTCATGAACTTGACTGCGTCCACTGGAAACACCACTTGAATATTCCACGGCAGCAGAATAGGTTCCCAGTAGTCTATGCTTGTCGTACTAGCTAACGTAGGTTGAATGGATATTAACAAATACAATGTATGTGACCTCTCTTCCACAGTACCCCGATGGCGTAAACCTTGGCGGACCACTGTCAAACAGGTGTACGCAAAGGGTTGCTGCCCAGGGTTGATCATTTACTGCCTGCAGTTATACATAGCTGCGAAGTTTATGAGACAACATTAATTCATAGTTTGTTACACGGTTTGATGTCTAACAGCGCCCGGGGTGTCATGGATTTATCCTGGCTGTTTGAGTCGTCACAGAGTGGCGTCCCTTAGCTTGTCAAATTCTGTTATCAGACATTGGCCGGTTATCATTCTTAGTTTATGTAAGCACCATGTGTCGATGTAGGTGACAGAATTCTGCCAATCAGATCTCGACTTTCAAATTGGCCGGTTATTATTCTTAGTTTATGTAAGCATCATGTGTCGATGAAGGTGACAGAATTCTGTCAATCAGATCTCGACTTTCAAATTGGCCGGTTATTATTCTTAGTTTATGTAAGCACCACGTGTCGAGTAGGGTGACTGGTGGGTTATTGCTTATGGTTTGTCAGCGTGGTTTGGTGGTTGGCAAACGTCCGCATATGCCTCACCGATTGGGTCACACAATAGACCGACACCCATATATTGTATTAGGAAAGAATTCACACCATGTGTTATATGTAAAGGTACTTCAGATAGAAACGCAAGGATATTATTTACTTTGGTGTTACACATTTCAAATTAACTATATCACAGCAACTTTTGATATTCCAAAAATCAAACCATAACCTACCGTTTGAGACTGGCCGCTGGGGTGGAGTACCCAGAGAAGAGCGACTTTGCCCTCTCTGCACCCCACCAGCAGTTGCAGATGAGTTCCATTATCTTTTTAAATGTGCAGCCTTCATTTCAGAAAGATCAAGTTTTATCCTAAATCAATTTCTACAATGGCCGAATCTCTAAAAATTGGCGAACCTTCTCAAATCCAAAAGAACAAACACTTTACGTAACTTAGCAAAATATATTAGAATTATTTCCAAATGGCTCAAATAAAATCTAATTTGTAACATTTACGCTTTTTCAATCAGTTATAATATACCTTTGTATATGTATTATAAACGTCGATGAACATCCTTGCTATCTTGGCATTTATTGTATTCATTTGCATCTATTTGTCTCATGTACCACCGTTGGTGGGTTTTTCAGAATAAGGATGAGATGAGAGGAACTAACAGATTTGAGTCAGAGCTGATTACTGTCTATTATATTCCACCATGACACCATCTTCCTACCGGCCAGTCAATCAGAGGCAAGCACAGTTGTCAGTAGCTCTGTTAATGTTTACATCAATGCCCATAAATATTGCACCTGATACCTGTGCTCCGTCTGCACCACCTACAAACCACCCTTTTTCAGGATCAAATGTGTGCTATGATGGTCTGGGATGTTTCGACACCAACCCGCCGTTCTTCAGCCTGTACCGACCCCTCAACTTCCTCCCACAGTCCCCCCTGCACATCCACGTCCAGTTCCTTCTGTACACCAGGCTGAACACTGTGAAGGCCCAGTACCTTACTGCTGGTAGTGCCCAGTCAGTGAGGTCGTCACACTTTGATCCCAAGAAGCCCACCAAGATGATCACCCATGGGTACATCGATACAGGAAAGGAACCATGGCTTCACGTAAGACAGCCAATGCCTTAGATTTACATGACCGTTTTGTAAATAACTGACGCGATAGACAAAAACCCCAGTGAAGCATTACATTAACTTGCTTCGGATATACAGCGAGTTTCGTTGCCTGACATGAGTTGAGTTGAGTTGAGTTGAGTTGAGTTGGGTATTTACGTCACATCGGCATTATTCCAGCCATATAGTGACGAGAACGAGTCTGCATTAATACACATTGTAAGTACAAAGTGACATGAGACAGATAAGACACGGGACAGATATGTTGTGCTTTAGATATGTTACTTTTTAAATGACTTGTTCGTAGTTGCATCATTTCGCATACAATAGTGTATATAAAATTCAAATATGTCAATATTTGCTAGTAAGATGAGTGATATTCAGATAGGTTAACTACTACAACATTCCATGTTCTGGTACAGTTCCTTGTACAGTACAGAACCCGAGTTGGCACCAATCAGTAGGTACTCTCTCTGATGGCTGGTAATGTGTGATATTCTGTTACTTGGTTGTTTGAGTGACATCGTACCCGACTGCTGGATTGTTGATACTAACATCAACCTATGTCAACCACATCTGTCTGATGTTTAACTCAGTTATTCGCAGGTCGTCGTCATATTATATCGTGGTGGGGCAACCAATCAGAAGGATGAAAACGCGTTTGACTTGTTGTGATGCTTTTTATCTAGACAATGAAAGACGAGTTTCTGAAAAACAACGACTACAACGTGATCATCATCGACTGGGGCGGCGGCTCGGCTCCTCCCTACACTCAGGCCACAGCCAATACCAGAGTGGTAGGGGCGGTCATTGCTCAACTCATTACATACCTCAAAGTGAGTCAATCAGTTCCCTTCAAGTTGTATCTCAGCTGTCTCGCCCATCCCCAATCCCCATCTCTCCTTTGCCCATATTCAACTAGGACATTGTACCCGTGTTCCAAACTCCAAAACCCCTCAACATTCCTAAACACCAGTCACTCTGCTGCTCCCACCAGGGATCTCCTCGTAGACGACCCACAGTTCTCTCTCCTTTCTCACGCTCCCACCAATTCATTCTACTTACAGACATCTACTTGTGTACACAACATGAATCTGGTCATGCTTAACATGCTAGGATCCATACCCTAGCAATCTACCTCACGTATATCATATCAACCATCACTGTAAACAGTAAACAAGCTACTATGTCTAAATAGAATGCGATCACTCGATTGGTGCCGGCATATTGAATGAAGTCTCACACTCGCGAGATCAAGTTATAAATGTTTGCAAGCTAACTTTAATATTTACTACCACCATTCACACCAGTACTCTCCCCTTCTCCCACCATGTCCTTCTCACCATGTTTCACCCACCCCCATGCCCACCCCCAACACACACTCTCTACCACCACCACCACCAGCCCAAAAGAACTCCTGGCTGTCACAATTGCGTAGATCCATGCTCATGCTGTTGATCACTGGGTTATCTGGTCCAGACTCGATTATTTACAGACCACCGCCATATAGCTGGAATATTTCTAAACTCACTCACTCACTCTTATCATGGCGCCCTCTCTCTCCCACTCCTGGCCCCTCTACCACACTCTTCCGATACTACCGTCACCCTCTTTTTGTTGTATTGTCATCTATACTGTAAAAATGTTTTAGATTTAATTACTATACTGTATAGATTTTAATATATATCTGTGATAATATAGTTGATTTACTGTCCTTCGTTGCCAGGTTATTGTATAATTTACATTTAATCATTATGAATCTATAACTTGATTTAGTCACGATATGGCTGAAATACTGCCGATGTGACTTAAAGTCGTAATTCATTCACTCACTCATTCACCCCAATCCTTCGAACATTCAGTGACAAGGCGAGCGTGCGGAATAATAACTGTTGATGAATCTGCATTAGTTCCCCTGTCAGCCCGTCCAGATATCAAAGACGTATTCAGCTATAATTACTTCATTGGAGTTTTTATGCCATAATGTGGATTCCATGTGGTTTCTAATTATTCCACAGACCATATTTCGCCTATGTTAGGAATTTATAGTCCACCTGCAATCTGGCGACAGCAAAGATAGTATCTCTAAAAAGCAATCACGTATATCATACAATATTTACTGGACGTCAGAATCCCACGATGACGCATTTTAAACCCTGTTACGGCTTTGGAGCAATTGCTGAGCGATGTCAAACATGTTTTAGTAGATCCATCCATGTATCAATTTTTCAAGACAATTAACCGTGTTCCATGCTTGAAATGGCACGAGACTGGCAGTCTCCTGTAATCAGGCGTAAAAAATGGCTAATGCAACTACAAAAAATATTCAATCGATGGATGTACACACGGAATTTCGTAATTAAGGCTTAGCCTTCTTTAATATTTTAGAATCTATTCCAGATAGAAATCGTTTCGGTTATCGTCTACACAAATCAAATTCCCTGGTACAAGTAATGTTCCTAACGTCTATATCCGCGGGAGAAGATTCGGTAACCAAGAGCCAGCAGATGCTGCTTTATGTTCAATTTAAGTCTTTGACTGAAACCGACAGTGGCAGGCATTTAAGGAATCGGTCATGGCCAAATAAAACAATTATTTCAACGATAAATGCGCCTGTGTTAACAATGGGATTACTGTTCAGTACGAAAAGGGTATGTCTTATATCAAATGTTCATGTTGTTTTGCAGGATGAGTCCTCAGATATTAGACTAACATTTAGTCACAGATACAAATTTATCTTATTTAAACATGTATAACATCAGAACAAAAATACAGTACAAATTGAGCCAAGAACAACAGTTTATTTCCCCAGTTGAGGCAATCTGGTCTTGCCAAATCATTCAAAAGTTTATTGGAATTCTTTTTAATATTTTCTGTTGTTGGGGGTCAGACTTCAATCTCGTTTTTGTCACTCCTACGCTTTGTCGATTATGATCGTGTTTTCTTACCAAAATGTATTGTATTGATAATTCTAGTAACCGCCACGTCTGCATTTTATAACCTATAGTTGTTATTATAATTTCAAAACGTTTACCCACCATTGCTGAGGACTATATATATATGCTTCTACGATGATGACGCCATCCAATAAGTTGTTTTAATCATAGAGTACGGTTTTGAACATAAGATAAGCACATAAAACATCTGTACTACAACTCAAGTGTATATAAAACACCTCGCCATACGGTAGTACGTATGATTTATCTACCCTCACTTGCGTTACATCACTGTTTGGTAATATGGTACATGTACAATATCACTGTTTGCAAAAAAGATAGGCACCCTGCATATGGTAGAGGCACACTACATGTGGTACATGTACAAATCACTGTTTGCTATAAAGAGAGGCACCGTATATATGGCTCGTGTACACACTCATTACTCTTTGTATTGCTGTTGTACAACGATCAGTTCACCTGACGGGAACAAGATGTTGTTAGGGGTTTGATTCGCCGAGTTTTGTTGTAGTCATTCATTATTGCAGACCGAGGCAGGGGCTAAACCTGAAGACTTTCATATACTCGGACACAGTCTTGGAGCCCACGTTGCAGGCTATGCAGGGGAGAGAATCCAGTACGTGGGCAGAATCACAGGTACGATGTCTCTGTCGGTCTTGACGACGTCACACAACGCTGCCTGCTGTCGGGGCAAATGGGGAACATTTCACGAGTTGGGGCCATGGGGAACTAGCAAGCTGAAAGGAGCCGTTAATCTGATTTCACTGCCAATGCAATGTCAGGTTGTGACGTCAGTGTTGTGATGGTGGGGTGAATGAGAATCCACTATTGTAAATAATCACTTCGAATACATTTACATGTAATTCCTCGTTTTTCTAAAAGGGACCGTTTCAGCTATTTCAGTATTATCATCTGTTTATACGGTAATGTGTGGTCTTTTCCAATTGCAGGTTTAATTGAAAGCAAAATAAAGTTTAATACCTGAATATTTAGATGTTGATGCGATCTTCAATAGACAAAACAGGAGATGCAGCCAATCCCAACCAGTGTTGTATTTACATTAAACCAACTGACGTCACTCCGTTGACAGGGCTGGACCCAGCTGATCCGTACTTCCAGAACACAGCCACCAAAGTGAGGCTCGACCCCACGGATGCCCTGTTTGTAGATGTCATCCACACCGACGGCGAATCCATTCTCAAACTGGGTAAGGCACACAGCGGATATTCACCTCCGTCTTGTCTACATTAGTCTCAATTTATACAGGGACTGAGTGAGTTGGGTTTAACGCCGCTTTTAATGATACTTCGGGGCGGTTGGGTAGCCTAGTGGTTAAAGCGTTGGCTCGTCACGCCGAAGGCTCGGGTTCGATTCCCCACATGGGTATAATTTGTGAAGCCCATTTCTGGTGTCTGCCATATCTCGCCGTGATATTGCTGGAATATTGCTAAAAGCGGCGTAAAACTATACTCAGTCAGTCAGTCAGTCAGTTTAATGATACTTCACTTATATCACAGCATGCATGTCAAATTTGATTTGGGAGGAAAGCCTGAAATGAAACTATATACAGTGACTAGTTCAGTCATCTACATACAATGATTAGACCCTCATCCTGATACGCTACCTTACCCCTGAAACTTTGTACAGTGTCTAGTACTCTCAATAACATACAAGTGAAAAGCGCCTGATCTTAAGCGCATGCTGGTGAATAGTCTTAACAGTGACAATTCACCATATCTTGATACAGTGACTAGTTCCCCCATTCTGATACGGCGCCTTACCCCTTCATATTTTGTACAGTGACTAGTACACTCAACACCTTGGTTACGCCAAGAGTGTGAAATAGAGGGTCGATATTGTTTGGCGTTTTGATGCGCCTACATATAATTGTGGTGTATTTAATCATAAAAAAATAGGCTTTAGCGTAAATAATGATTCTTCAAGGTATTAAATATAACTTTTTGCATCCTCTCTCATTTCATAATGTCAAACGTATCCAAACTTGCCTATAAAAATTGATTCACACTTTGGCAAAACCTCAAAGTGTCACAACTATGTGTATGTTGTCCATGCGGATGGTTGAGATCATGAATGAGTGAATGATTATTGCTTAACGCCGGATGAGCAGTTTTGCAGCTATTGAATGCGATTTAGGATAATGAAATGCCAAGGCGAGTTAATGCAAAATGTTGTGTAGCTGGGAGTTACGAGTGTTTTACTTGAAGGCTATGGGATGCGGCAGGCGTGTGGACACGTGGACTATTTCCCTAATGGCGGAATGACACAGCCAGGTTGTGACAAGGGTCCCGTCACTCAAATCAACATTGGTGGATTAGCGGAAGGTCGGTTTTTTCTCTTGCACGTGTTCTGCTATACTACCCATGACCCATGACCTTCCTTCTTGTATACTACCCTATGACGTATAACTTCCCTTATTGCCCTTGCCATGTTTCTTCCTTCTTGTACACTCTCCTTTGGCATATTGCCTTCATCGTTGTAATTTAGGTCAGATGTGACGTATAACCACGCTCATTTATACTAGCATATGACATACACGTGCTTACAGCCACCTGAAGCATTACCAAGCAACTGTGTTAAACCATATGACGTGTTCTCAAACTTGTATTCTTGCATACAACCATACAACGTACACCATTTACTTGTGAACAACCACATGACGTTTTACCAGGCTCTTGTATACAGCCATGTCACGTCTTATCAAAATATTGTATACAACCATATGACGTGTACAACTCTTGTATACAACCACTTAACGTTTTCCCAGTCTCTTAGGTACACAAACACATAATATATTACTGTGATTGCTGAGCATTACGTACAGTTGGCGTATACACCACGTGAGCTGCTGCTCACATGCAGCTCTTTGGAGTAGAAATACAGCTGCTTTCTCGAAATCATATTGACATGTTTTCGCCTTTGATTGTGTTAATGCTAATGGACTGTAATCTGGATACAGGAAAATGGGGCATGTTTCCACATCAAGAGGCATGCTGTCAGTATTAACTTCAGTATAGATTTACCAACTACAATACCCAATGGCAAAAGTACACTTCTGTATGGTTTATTCGACAGCACCGAACATGATCAAAGCATGGAACCATCTGTGTGAAATGTGCAACAACTCTTGGTGTGTAGCTAAACATCCTACTCAGTTCCTTTGGGAGGTATTTCCAATGACATCATCAATCGTAGCTGTTGCTGCCACTTAGACAGGTGACCTTTCCAAGGCTAATGGATAATCTGCGAGATATTTGCATGTTCCAGGTGTGAAACAGTTCGTGGCCTGCAACCACCTACGTTCATACGCACTATTCACGGAATCCATCAACTCCAAGTGCCCCTTTGAAGGCTTCAAATGCAACAGCTATGACGATTTCAATGTGAGTTGTTCGAAGTCAGGCTAAAATGTTCTAGTAGTATGCTCCGAGCTTATTCAATTTCCGCATTATAGGACGTTCATCACAGCTGATCCATATTACATCGCTGAGTAGAATTTGCTCAACACTGCATCAGAATATTTTCGCCCACTGAAAGCTATAGATTTCCGGCTGGGTGCATGCCAGTATATTCCTCCTTGTATGTCTGTTTAATCTTTTGGAAAGTGTACAATATGTGATTGTAGATGGTCCAAACAATTAGAAATGTCAAATGGTAAAAATAGGAATTACATTTATAGACAATACTTTTGAACTAGATACGATTTCAAATGTTTCAGTGTTTCTATAATGACACATCATAAGAATAAGATTATGTATTTGGTTCCTGTGAGAGGACATTCCCAAATCCTGAAAAGTGACAAGAACATATCTCTAAAAGAACCTGCACATTAGTCAAGTGAATCTGAAAAAGCCAGGCAACAGTCTCATTGACGTAACATATTCGTAACGCTCTCGGTCGGGAAGGATTCAATGGAATGAATGTCGTTCTACACTCAGCTCGATCACTGTGAAATTTTCAGTGTGGAATAAATAATCTGTAACTGACATCGTGAGCAATTATCAGAATGATCGGGTCACCGCGTCATCGGGGCACGTGGTCCATGGTCCAAGGTCAAAACTCGGAGAGCACGTGGATGGGTGTACTGTAGCTTGACTCCCAATAGTTTCCAACGCTTAGTCCCTGTGCCATACATAAGCCTATGTAACTCTCGCGTAGTTCCTCAGTCAAGTGACCTTGTCCTTAATGTGTCTCTTTTCACCCAACACAAAATGGGTCCCTGGTGGGAAGAGGGATGGTCATGTGATTGTACAAGCAGACACGAAACCTTGTTAAAATTTCAACCTTGTAATTTGGTCTCAGATGTGTAAATATTTGTTCATTGGAAAGGGAATACTGTAACTCAAATCAATCACCTCCTGACACACAGAAACATCATAGTATTTCTACTCCAAAGAGAAAAATAATGTGAACAGAAGATTTTGAAGACATTTATACCACATAATCACTCATCCCCCGTGTAAACTGATAACCCTATCTCCCATGATGTCACAGTTATTGAGGTGTTGAGGTGAGATGGGTATTTACATAGCATTCAAGATTATGGCACTTATGTAGCAACGTGCATGGCTGAGTATGTCTGTCGGCTTCTTCAAGACCGGATTTAATGCCTTTTCATCGTGCTAGTCCACTCTGATACCTGATGGATTGTAAGACGGATACCCCGTTCAGATACTGTATCCTGGCCCTAGACCTATCCTTGATGTATCCTTTCTGCAAACATGTACCATGATCTTTCAACGTCTTCGGGTGTTATTCGACCGGGTATCGAACCACCAGCTGTTCCACTCTCTGGGCAGTCGCTCTATCTACTACACCACCTTGAAGTACCTTGGAAACACTCGGCGTTCTCTAAACACGTGATCACAGAAAGGTCGAGGTCACCTCTGAAAATACCCATGTCCCCAGCAGTTGTTATACAAACACATCTGATTCTGATCATTTCCTCCGTGCCAGCCAGAACCATATGGACATCGAATTGCCCAACTGAGGCACCACTCGGTTTCACCACATTTCCTGAATCACAGGATTTCCTCCTTGTTGTGACCAAGGTTCCTGCTGGATATGTCACGTACTTACCCCTTCCATGATTCCTCGGAAATGAGTTTCTGTTAGTCTAGTTGCTTATTCGTGTCTCCATTTGTCAATAACGGTCGGTTTAATGCCATTCTCCTACACTATAAACGACTGGCGCTCATTTCCCTCTTAACTATAATAACATAGGTATATATATATATATATATATATATATATATATATATATATATTCGCAAAAGAGTAGGGGATCATCAGATCATATATATTGTCTGTGTGTGAGTAATGATTGGACGTAAGAATTTACTGCAAGAGATGGAACCAAAACATTTAGCCCAAAAACACCCGTAACATTAACGGAGGGGGTTATTCTTGATTTTGAAATTTCAGTTAAGGCTGTGAAATCGCTCTGACCAACATTACAACGTGATGGACACCAACATTACAACGTGATGGACACCAACATCTATTTGTATTGTTCACACTAGTAGAATTCAGCGGGAGGTAGCCAATATGTTCAATAGATCTCAGTCTTTGAGGATGCATATTTTGAAACAGACGTTTAAGAAAGTTTCTGCAAACACAAAATGGTAAGGATCAGCCACTCAAGTCTACAACACAGTGTGCGATAGATTAATCAGAGTACGTGTTTTCAAAATTGGGTCCAAACAGCTGATAACTGCTGTTGGTTTGTGCCCGGTTCACGTTACTGACCAGGCGATCACAAATCGTCTGCACGCTGAGCGACCACGTGCGGCATCACTGGCACCCAATCGATACACCCTGATTAGAAAACAGACATTGGGGAAACTACCGGCGATGTCGTGTGGTGTATTGAGATTAGTCCTGATTCACGAGGAACTTTCAGGATAAGACTGGAAATATCTGTAGGCGTCCTTACGAAAGTCATGCTCAACTTAAGACAAAATTACTGATTTGGAAGGTTGGCTTGTAATGATACGGACGGAATCTCTATGACTGCCAGTACGCCACTGCATGTATTGTCCATTAAGCTGTAGCTGGACAGTACTAGATGACATATGGAGGCCAATTGTTTATTTGACGTGCTAGAGCATGCTGGTTTATTTTCCAAGACCAGATTCCACTTATGCCACCTGTGCACGTCACGTCTACCTCCAGCAGCCAAACACCACCAGATACCATGTCAAGCCATGAGACTTTACCTTCCCTCTATAGAGAACGTCTGGGACATTATCACGAGGCCTTGAGGCAACCCCTGCGTTAGCCTGGTTTGGGGAGCGCTGCAAAATAGGTGAATAGGGCCAACTCAAATTGTCACAGCGAGGTCCTGCGGATCGTATTTACGGATTTTTAACAATCGTAGGAGCATGACTCAATATTTGAGTCATCTCAAACGTTAATTCTTTTTACACACACGTCGTCTTTCCTGGTTGCTTGCTCCCTTAAATAGGCCGCTAACAGTGTTTATTCTTTCTCATCCATCCATTTCTACCGATTATATCTGTAATCATCGTTATATGACACTCTTCTTGAAGGAAGTTTGAGACTTGTCCATTGAGTTTTTCTTTAAAAAAGTTCAAAGACGGCTTTGTAGGCTTTGGTAGCAAGACAAACAGATGACGGTCTGTTGAATATTATGCCGGTATTTGGGTAAACCACTATACGATCCTACGAAGGGAAGTATAAGTTATTCCTGGCTATCATTCGTCCAGTGCACCATTGCTTACTTGTCGTTTTGAATGAAAGCAAGTGATAAATCCATGCCTATAAAAATGTCATTTCTGGATTTCCAACTTTCATCGATACGTCTTTATTTGCAATGATGTGAAGTTGCATATGGATGAGAAAATATTAGAAAACCTATTTCCATATCCATCAACCATATTTTAAATAAACGTTTCAACAAATAACAATCTGTAGGCACTTTACAGAACGGCAGATGCATACCTTGTAGCGGGATGGGGTGTGGCTACATGGGTTTCCATGCCGATCGTGTAAAGCCAACCGGTCATCAGACCTTGGTGAAGTACTTCCTCAAGACTAGTGGAGACGGACCATTCTGCCGTGAGTAGATATACCCGACTTCCCATTCCACAGAGGTCCGTTCAGTTGGAGCATTCAATACCTTCAGTCTCAGTAAATGTTAATTATCTTCTCCAGGAGAATACCAGTTGCATACCTGCGTTTGTGTAGGTAAAATGTATATGATGATGATGAGTTCACTCATTCGTTTACTTATCGACACTGATTATTACATAGAAACCAACACTAAACACAATGGTCAGTAACACTTCCGCAATGTACCTTCCTGATATGTCATTATGTCGAAATGACTAAATACTTTGGCATGATAACCTTATGATGACAATACTTTTGTGTGCTGAAATAGAATGGAGTGATCGTATGACCGTAGGTAGTGTAGTGTTTTACGTATTGTAGAATAAGATGCAAAAATCATTAACTATGATGTGACTGTATTTTCGGTCCATCACTTGATTGACTGGTTCACACTAAATACTTTTAGGTAAATGCTGAGGGGTGGGTGCTACCGGTAGAGCATGACATGCTTACCTGGACATGCGAACACCGGGTGTCATCACTGACTTTCAGACATTCATTTATTGATATAAATTTAGTAGCTATTTCTCCAATGGAATCTATCAAAAACGCACGTTTTTCACCTCGGGGTTTAATTTTTTTTAAATAACTAGGCAAAACATATAAATGATATTGTTTGATTCCATCTGTAAGACTCATCAAAAACGTGTGTTTAAGGATCATCCAACAACATTCGACAGTACTACAAGATTACCAATACCAAGACTACAACATAATCTATGACAACTTATTTACATAATCTATTCGATCTCACTTATGCTTGTTTTTTAATTGTGCTATGTATTTGAAATAGTGTATGAAGGATAAAACTGTACCAGTGCGAAAAAGAAATAAAGTGAAAAACAAATACCAAGACTACGTCAATACCAAATTTGACGTAGGTAGGACGAAAATGCCAATTTGGGCTCGTGCCGAACACTGTGTGTTTGCACGTCTTTGTCATGTATGGTTCTTATAGGGCAGAATACACTCACTTACCTGTTACCGTCATTATCTGACAGTGACTGAAAACAGTTTATAAACATTTCATGGACCATTGTTAAAAAGTGTTCCACATTTATTGATTGTTTGGGGCTACGTTAAGAATGGTCTAGTGGCTCATGTAGTTTAACTGACGAGTGCGTCTTTTTGTCGCCTGCTCTGACAGTCGCAGACCCAAAACAGAAGACACAGAGAAAGCGCTGTTCAGAACTAACCCGTAAGCATTGAATGTCCGCTTCATTAATCCCGTGCTGAATGTTCCTTTAGGCTACCATTACCAAGTAAAACTGTCCTTTGGCAAGCCTGCCGCCGCGCGGACAGAGCGAGGCAACCTGTTTGTAACACTTACGGGCAGTAAGGGCCAGAGCGGAGAGATCCAACTGACCAGCAGGTAGGTGCAAGTATAAGTCCAAGATAACATGTACCGTTATGTAAAGTTCTACGGTAACATCAAATGTATATAAGTATAGCTTTCACGTATCTTAACAAATGGTTAGAAGAACGTATGACTTCGTTACATTGACAGTGTGAACCAGATTTGCCATGGTATGGTTAATACTCTGATTCTCATGACTTTAAGGGGCGGTGGGGTAGCCTAGTGGTTAAAGCGTTCGCTCGTCACGCTGAAGAGCCGGAATCGATTCCCCACACGGGTACAATGTGCGGAGCCCATTTCTTGTGTCCCCCGCCGTGATATTGCTGGAATAAAACCCAACTCACTCACTCACTCACTCATGATGTTAAGAAACGTTGCGAATATATCCTTCAATCCATTTTTGTGCTTTCTTCTAAAAGGGAGCTATAAACAAGGTTTATGAAACATATACCATTTGCACTTACCGTTTTTATTATTGTACGCTTTATTTTCCCAAGTGACATAGACTTGATCCCCGGCCACACGTTCACTTTCGTTGTGACGTCAGAGTTAAACCTTGGCGACATCTCGCGGATTACCGTCAAGTGGAAACATGCTTCTTATTGGTACAAGCCCCTTGACTGGAATCCGCTTGGTCTGCGACATCCATATATCTTCCTGGACAATGCTGTCATTGCTAGTGGCGAAGAAGCGAAGTCGTGAGTAGGATAAACTAATTGATTATGGTTAACATATGACCTTTATGTTTGATTCTTTTCTGAACACACGGTAAACACAGTCACAAGTGCCGGTATTCGGCCATATTTGGTAAGAGTTAAGTTTGAAAATGTATTACTAATAACCTATCCCTCAGTACATGTAAGTACATGCATGTGTACATTAGGTGTATGGAAGATGACAGCATTCCTTGTTGTAGGACTAAAATGTATGTAACACTGTGATACCAATATATTTTGGACAAAGGATGATTTCTAAATCGCAAACCTTGAACTTTCTGAAAGAAATCACCCATGTGCTTCCATGTTTATATGATTACACTTTTTGACATTTCCATTACAATAGGAAATTACCTTTTCTGTTTTAACATGAAGTTATCAGCTTTATTAATTATTCATATTATCGTCAGGGAATATCAGCCTATCCGTGTATAATCATGTAGTCGTATTTATCGGGGTTTACTTGTGTTGTTCTAATGTAACAAATATCCCTCAGATAAAAATATTTTTCAAATGATCTTTCTCTTAAAAGTAAGCAATCACTACATCATGGTTAATATCATACTGCATTCTGGTATTTGTGGAGTAGAATTTGGTCCTTCGCTCCATACATGAATTACTCTAACAGACGCGAGAAGTTTGTATCTCTCTGGTTATCAATACCGGCATTGATCCTGGAATCGATACCAACAGTGCGCGCTCGCTCCTTCACTCACTCACTCACTCACTCACTCACTCACTCGCTCACTGTTTTTTGTTACAGAGTCCATATCTGCGGCCACAGTATGCCCGTCCCAGACAACACCCCGAAACAGCTGAGTCAGCTATGTTGATCTCTGCTTTCTCTGTTTGGCATTTATGTTTGAAATGAAATGGAATAAAAACAAGGGTTGTACTTGGTTGTACTGTTTTGTTAGTAAAGGCTGTTTACAGTCGAATGTCAATTTACCAAGACTGATTTATACCTAATGTCTATACTCCAAGGTCACTGACCTCCTGCAATGTCTCTATGGTGGAATTGTAGCGTAGTGGTTAAAGTGTGCACTTGTCACTCAGACAACAAGGGATCCAGTAATCAAATGGGTGAAGCGCATTGCTAAAATATTGCTGAAACTATACTCACTCACCCACTCACTAAATACTCTACTAAACTATGTTCTCTCTTCACGAACACCAGGTGTCACATAGGCGGATCCAGAGGGGGGGGGGGGGTGCAGGGGTGCGCACCACCCCTTTGGTGCTGAAAGTTTGTTAAATGACCATTGAAACTCTTGTGAAAATGAAATGTGCACCCCTCCTTTTCTCAATAGTGTGCACCCCCCCTTTCTCAAAAAGCTGTATCCGCCTCTGTGTCATCACTGACTTTCAGTGATTTTCTCTATATATGTGTAAGGAATGACGGGTTATTCTCTTGCGCCGACTTTCTATTTCTGCATCTGTTTTCGTCCTTCTGATATTCACTCAGTTAGGTGTATCCTACATCTAAAACTTGGTAATACATAGTTTGTACATTTGTAATGTCTGTGTGCAGGTTTAGGTTGATCACCAGCCCCCTGTATGCTATGATCTGTCGGTGATGTGAGAACAACTGACAGTGCTAGAAGTAGTTCTCATCCATGAACAATCATGTAGAAGGTATTGCTGAACCGTAAGAGTATTTCTTTACAAAATATTTCTGTGTAATAATGTTCTACAAATAACAACTTGTTATTTATATTATATTATCCGCCTAGATACTAGTATACTTTCGTCAAAGCCTGCTCTTATTCTTTAATTCAGGAATTTATATCCAAGTACATTTAGTCAAGACAAGCGAATGTGTGGGTTCGAATGTTTTACCTTTCACAGGACCCAATTTAGTAGGGTAAAGTTTCTTCTGGAAATAATCCTGTGGTTAAATATTGTTATTTGATTCTCTGCACAAAATCACCGACGAAGACCGATTCATAAAGAAAAGCAGAAGTGGAGATTATGCCTGACAAATATGTATTTATTTTGTGATCACACTGGTTGTGGCGGGTATCGGATACGTGATACTATTCTGGTCTGCCCCCACGGTGGCGATATCCGCGCTGAAATCACACGGGAACCATCCAAGCAGGATAATTGTACAGCTCCTGGGTGATAAGTGTTTGTCTGTGTGCCCTAGGTCACACTCCTACTCCACAGAGACAGATACGAGACAGAAATTAAAGCAATCAGATAAATATTCATGAGACATGTCTCTTACATAGCAGATAAGTGGACGTTTCTCGTGGTTTCTTGATACTGCTTCCAGTAGTATGGCGCCGCTTGGTTTCTGTCCTCGACATGGCGTTTCATTAATCTTTATGCACAAATATTTGTGTAGTGACAGTCGAAGATTCTTTGGTTATGGTGTAAGTCAAGTATTCACTCAATGCATCATTACATTGCCTGATCTTGCTGTATCAAGGTTTACTCAAGATACTCCCAACTCAAGGTACGATACGACAGTTTTATTTATTACACGTTTCTACATACGAGTATCTTGTGTATATATCAGCACGCGTTCTTGTTTGTGACGTCCGTCTTGACCGTCGCTTTATCTGCCAGTGTCTGTCCGCCAAGACAAGCAAGGTACCTGAAGAAGAAGAGCATATCTGTCATAAAGACATTGGAGTTAGTTCCTGATAAAGAAGACATATGTAATAGATTTATCAACCCTAAAGATCCAAAATCAAACTTTCATAAAAATGTTGCGTACCGTGGCGTCATTATGGCCGTATTATTCTAAATTTGTCATCTTGTCAGTATGAGAATTCATTATTTCTGTCTGAACAACATGCTAAATCCATATCTGTTCTAATAGCGGAAAATTCCATTCGTGCGCGGCCTGACAATTCTTCAAAAGGAGTGAAATGTGGAGCCAATAGCTTTTCTGCCTCCATATCTTACAAAAATCTTCTGTGGCAGCAAAATAGTTCAGTGATTGAGTTGCAATTTGGCACACCAAAATTCTCCACACACATTGTACTCAGGAAGAAATCGAACATGGTTCTTCGCCGTGATGAGCGCACGCTCTAGCCGCAAGACCCCCAACTATAGGAAGATTCCATTTACTCAGTAATGTACTGATTGTGTGTCAGAATACTTACGAGTAGCCATTTTCACCGGAAGTAACCTTAACACTGCTGAGTTCAAATGTATCCTCTCCGTCGCTGAACCAGAAGCCTGAATTCTTGACGTATTTAACCTCCACAGCAGTAACATCTCCTATCTCGTTCTTGGCGACAACAACTTGCACGACCGTTGATTTCGGGGTCAACTTCGTATTCCTAAAACAAATGTGTTAGTTAATTTATGATAAAACCTTCAGCCCACTCCAGTTCAAGATGCCATTGAGATACATGTACATGCCCATGGTGTGTTACGTCTTGTTTTATCAACTTCAGTGTGATGGAACGGGTACCGGGGTACCCGAATATGATTTTGGTCCAGCCATTATTCAAATAGAAAACTGTTGAGGAATTATCCTCTTGTACTTGAGTATTTTCCCGTTCCCCTTCCAAGGCCTAGATAGAAATGCAATTCACAATGAGGCTGACGTAACCACCGTGCTGTAAGAAATTAACAAGGTCAAGGCAGCAAGAAATTAACACGGTCAAGGACGGCCATCTTGACTCGTTAGTGCAATACAGACACCTTTGCTCACGAAAAACAGAAAAAAAACTATGGTTGGCTATTGACGTAATATGCAAATCAGTGCTGACGCAATAGAAAAAGAATCTGAAAGGACATTGTAGTGAATTATATGAAGAGGGACGATACATACACGTCCGTAGAGCAGATTGCACGTCCCCCACAGAGACCAAGGGCAACTCATACATGCTGTGAATAACGATGTTCAATGTAACATTGTATTATTATTCCTCTCGGTAACGGTGAAATCACCCGGATAAATAAATCATAGTAGTCAGTTCATATCGACCTGCAAGGTTGAGGTGGCCCTGAAGCTTCCTGACTAATGGGGTCATGACCAAGGGTGTTTCGGTGTTTTAATGTAGTACGGAGTAAATGTGGCAACCGCTGATGACTTGTTTAGTTACCCCGTGACTGCGATGAACCCACTGGTTCCCCACTGGCCGACCAGATTCAGGATGAGTTGGCCCTGAGTCTCCTTCACGTCGTCCGCGGCCTTCAGCTCCACACCATAGTGATAACCTGTTGTACACGATGTTTATCCGAGAGACGTGTCATTGGTGATAAAGCAGGTTACGGCGTACCGGGGACAGTGTTGGGTTACAGGTAACTATAGACATGAACTCACCATAAAACGGAGGCATACTGTTATTTATGACTAGATGGAGTAAGTACAGAATTGTTAGCGACAGCAAATAGAAGCGCTCATAAAATATGAAGTTGAGAGTTATCTACCTTTGTGTATTGACACCTGAAAAGACTAACTGGCATCCTGAGAGCGAGATTATATACTTCCCGTCAAAAGTTTAGACTCACTATATGTTATGTATATATATATGGTTACATCAAAGATTGATTTCTCCACTAACTTGGGGGAACCAATTGCAAACCTTAAGCAGATGATTTGCACGAGGATCATGCATCAAATTGCTGAAAAGCATATGCAAATATCGTGCATGTGAACAACTGCGTTTATGTGTAACATTTTGTCATGAATTTCACTGATTTTTATCATTTATTGAACTCTTGACAATAATCTTTTCAATGTTATGAATTTGTTTTACAATACATCAGTTAATGTGCAAATGGTACCTTTTAAACAGTATGGAATATTTTGCAAAATTTAGTTTAGAATAGTTGCCTGAAGTAAGTGGCTATATTTACACTAGTGAGTCTAATCTTTTTGATGGGAAGTACATATATGACATGAGAGCCTCTCCGATCTGACTTTACCATTTACTTGCCCAGGCTATCACTAGCCTTATCTTGATGCCTGCCCCCAACACTGTTTCTCAGAACCCCTACCTCATTCAATCATTACTTGACTCAAAACATTGCCTCACTCAACTCTTACAAGTTCTTGACATTCGTGAGTGAATTGATTTATGCACTCGTTTAATAGAGCCTGCTATGACATATTTCACTATCTGTATTGTCATAATGATTGTAAATCTGATTCTGTGTAATCCAATATACAGATTTCGCGGTTTAAACAACTCATGGGAATCAACTCCTATCAACACCAAAACTGCAGAGGTGCATGATACTTTGGACAATGAACTGACCACAGAACGGCGACGTGCCACCAGTGTCCAGGAACATGCTTCCACGGGCAGAAAACTGGTCCGCATAATAACCAAACTGGGTGCAACCTCGTGTTCCGCACTTCAGACAGAGGCCATTTTTAAAGGTTTTCTGCAAAGGTACGTTGTGATTAAAACCCTAACAGTGAAAGCTTACGTTTCTGAGGAATTCTTAAAATACCGGTATAAAATATGACGACAATATTGATTTATGTTTCCAGACGACTTGATTTGTTGTTTCAGTTTTAGTTGTTTATAGACGCATGCGGTTAAAGCATTTATGCATTACTATCACTTTAAACACATTGTCTATGGTAGCATAAAGTATGTATAGGTACATAGTCCGTGCAGGGGTAGGCTGTGAACGGACAGGGCGTGGAGATGGACTCTATGTAATAGTCAGTGGCTCGGGCATTGCTGCAACCTAGTGTGTTGTTTGCGTCTGAAACATGAACGATTTGGTTTTGGCATCAATAGTTCTTTGCCTTTCTGCTTTCGAGTCCCGACTCGATTTGTTTGAAAACAACATCATACAGCTGTACTACTGCTGAAAGAAATATATGCTCATGGTATAGTCACAATTGTACAATCCACTCTATTCGCTTCTATTTAGTCACCTGGGTTTGGGGTACTTGGACTAGATTATGAATACGTGAGCAGGACACTTGGGACCTGTCTTTGTGGACTGGAGACTGAAGACAGTTCCAAGTCTTGGTCAAGGTAACAGCTAGACAGTTTTTCTGTGAAACTATTGCATTCAATATATTTTGCTAGAATAAAAATTGTTTCAAACAATAATAATTTGGCAATATAGATCTTCAATGACTTTTGTCAGTGCCCCATAGTGAAAACCACGCGGTGTTAATCATCTTCTTCATCACGCCCACCAATTGACACATTAAGCCCAGACTACGTGAACTATACCTATCAATTCACCTTATCTGTGATATTAAGTTGAAAATCTCTTAGGTTAGCAATGTTGTATGAAATTATGAACTGCAATGGCACTCAAACTACTACAGTGTTCTAATATGTTAAATATGAATCTATTTTAGAAATTTAAATATGATATTTCAAATCATACAATTATAAAATACACAAATGTTGATGGAGATATTATCTTCATGAAACATTCGCTTGCCTTTTTCACCACAAATAGACAACATTTAATCCATGGTACGGGAAGGTGGGGTAGCCTAGTGATTATAGCGTTCGCTCGTCACGCCGAATCCCTGGTTCGATTCCCCACATGGGCACAATGTGTGAACTCTATTACTGGAGTCCCCCGTCGTGTTTTTGCTGGAATATCGCTAAAAGCGGCGAAAAACTAAACATACTCATTCATCCATGGTAGGGGTTGGACAATTTATTGTTACACAAGATTGCCCAGCTACAGAATTACATACCGTGGAGGAATGAGCGATGCTAACATACAAATAAGGAAATTCGACAACAGCTATTTGGTGTTTCAATTTTAGTATACTTTCTTTTGCCTTTCAATATATCTCCAAATATTTCAACATCAGCTTTAACACTGAATAGTAATCAAGAGTATATCTGGATTACAGATTATCGTAATTTCACACTAAAGACTGTATTAACACACCTTATACGTCATACTTGACCAAATATATTTTCACTGATATTCTTCCTCAAACATATACATGTCTGTTGTCGGGCTTAAACAAAGTTGAACACATGTTTTAAAAAGTATCAAGCACCTTTGTCTATAAGCATTGGTCCCAGTGCATCCGGTGCTGTAGTCGGACATCCGGGCTGTACCTTGCCACCATTCACATAGAAGTCTACGTCACCGGAAGGTAATTCCTGACCTAGGAAGCCGCCATTTGTATGGGTGACGTCAACAAATATGGCGTCGGTCTTGTCTAACTTCAGAATATCTGGTGCATGACCATAATTTGGTCCCGCGGGATCCAGCCCTATCAAAATGAAAATGTCACTATTTAGATCTACACCATTCAAGATATCGACAACACGTAAGTGTTTGTAGGATACAGGGCTTGAAAATAATGTAGCCGTGTATGTGTAAATCTTAAATGTTGCAATTATTTTCTCACTCTTTGATTATTCATGCATTTTTATTATGAACTACCTTTGCCTGCCACATATTGTTCTGTGTATTGATGACGACTTTTACGACAAATCGTGTACCTAGTGGTACGAGAGATGATATACGTTCGAAGTCCAACATAGAAGGAAGCTCGTAACAATGAAATGTTTTGTTTTGTCATTGTAACAAGAATATGCATTTTAAGACAGTGACAGCCCCCAGCTTATGTTAATGACTTGCGACAGCGAATAAACCGCAATGCATCGTCTCCCCCTCCCAAACAAATACAAACAAGAAAGATTTGAGAGTTAAGCATTTTCCTGACATACGCATTTCCTATGAAGTGAGCCACACAACTTGCCAGTTAACCCTTGTTATCAGGTTCTTACCGCTTATTCTCGCAATGGCGCCCTTCATCAGCCAACCAGTATAGCCCGCTATGTGAGCACCTAAATCATGCCCAACCAGATACACGTCCTTCGTCTTTAGCCCCGCCTTTATCAGCATTTCTACCATGACTTTAAGCTGTATTCCAACCAATCTTGTGTTTGCAACAGCCTGGTCGTAATCACCCGCAACTGCACCTCGTCTCCAGTCGACAATGATAACATTCATATCGCCCTAAAAGAAGATACTTTGTGTGTTGATTTCAAATAGATGATGTATTCCAGCCGCTTATTACAATACCGTGTTTGAAAGGACTTAATTTAGTCTCAAAGGCAATGCTATTTCAAGGCTCCCTTTAATATACACAAATATACACCCTCACATGTATCGTGTAAATGTTATTGTTTTACCTTTCGTAAGAGAGCATCTTTGCAGTTTTGTACCCATGATGAGTTCCCTCCTCTTTTGTAACCGTGAATTATAATTTTTGTCAGCTTCGCATGGTCAAACCTTGACCTCGTGACACTGTCCTGGTCGGTGTAGTTGAGCTTCTCGTGGCCACCGTTACCAGAACTTCCACGCGTGTATAACCAGAAACCAGTCCCTATTACTTCCGGTGCCACAGGAAGCGCCAAGTTTGCTATGTTAAATGGTGGAATGTTATCGAAGCACCCAACACGCGGGTAACATACTGTTGTATTCGTGCGCGGATCTGGGGTTGTTGTAGTCGTCGGTGTTGTTGTATGAGTCGAAACTGTTGTTTTTGGCGAATTAGTTGTCTGTGCCAAAGTGGTTTCCTTTGTCGAAGTGGGTATCTGTGTAAAACTTGTTGTCTGTGTGGATTGTGCTGGCGATGTCGCTGCGCTGAATAGGACTGAAAGATGTTATAAATATTTACTGTATTTACGAGAACGGAAAATGCCTTGACATCATTAGGGTTAATAAGGTGTTGATTACGCCCCGAATTGTTAAAGTTAGATCCCGGACGCCTGTCTGTATGAAGACCCGGCTCAGTGTGGATCAGATGGACACAAATGCTGTTGAATATTGAATGCAACATATCAATGACTATCAGTGACTACAGGTGATGTGCACATGGCGTCTCAAGAAACCCAGAGGTCGCTATTTCACAGTAAATAAAGAAGCGTAAAATCTTAATTTCAAAGGTATACTTTCTTTAGACCAGCAGTGTAGTTGGTGGGTGAATGACAGCCAGCGACATGCAGGCTGGTTGTGTATCGTGGCAACCAGGCATCAATGTTTGGGTCTCCGATATATTGCCAACAAATATTGAAAAATTATGGAAATATATCTATTTATTGCCAAATTAATAATATTGTCAAATTAACAAAATGTCACATAGCTACTAGAAAGGCATATATATTCTCCCAAGTAAACACAGACAACCGTAAAAGTTGCTAAACAATTAGATGTTCTTAGACATTTTATGAAGGTCTTAGATTGTGGAGTTTAAAGACTTTTGAACACGTTATCTACGGTCCTAGTACTTCCTCTGATTAGTTCAGAATGTTTGAGGACAGGCCTACCTGAAGATGTCGCTAGTTGTACTACAAGAACACTCCACATGTTGCACAGGTCAGCGAAACTCAGAGGCTCGGGTATAATCACAGGTCACTTGTGATTACTTCTGTTTGATAGCAGATAAAGGTATATATACAGAAAGAAGAAACTTTCCGTGTCTCTGTCTGATAAGATAACCTAGATTATTAAGCACTATCATCTTAAATAAAGATTATTTTCTGAGAATGCAAACCAAAAAACATGGCAAACAAATTGCTCGACTATTATCATTACATATTTGGACACCAATACAAGTGTTACTGAATGCAGTAGGCCTACGTTATAATTAGAAATGGCAATGTTTAAGATCTCGTCTAACATACGGTTCCCGGTCTGTTACACGTGGAGATTATTCAATGGATCGACTGCACCAGTGTTGTGACTGAGCGAGAAGAAGGGTTGCTCTTCATGATTCTTGTTTTGAATAAGTGACACCAAGAGACAAACCATCAACCACTATCTTCATTCTAGACCTACTGAACTAATTTTTAGAGATTGTTCCCAGTATAACTAGGGTCGGGTTTCTTTTATTTCTATCTTCTAATAATTCCTTAAGACTTTTCCTTTTAGTGCTTTGGTGAAGGGAGATTTGCACCAGAATATTTAAACTTCACTTTAATCACCTAGTCTCCATACAACAGTCATTACACCAACTCCAAAGGAGAACATGTAGGGACCATTCCGACGAAGTTGCGATCACACAATTCTGGTCTGTATGATATTTGTTTAATAACATTGTAATCTGAAAGAAGTACACAAACGTCTACGTGGGCTGTTTTGTATTCAGTAGCAATGAACTGATTTCTTCTACCAATGCTCCACGTCTATAACATATGAAGATCGTTAGCGCGCTGAGGTGATTGTTTCCAAGTCTCCACCGGTGAGGATCCTGACTTTGTTGATGCAGGACAGTGTCTCCCAATTGCGTAAATCAATGCCTATGATGTCAATCACTGGATTGTCTGAACCAGACTCAGTTATTTACAAACCACAGTCTTGCAGTTGGAATATTACTGACTGCGGAGTTAAACAACAAACAAACAATTTTCAATTCTCCGCGAGTGTCCGCTCACCCTACTCAAAGGTTCTACAAGCGCTAGTAAAATATAACTCTACACATCCGGCTTCCCTTGAATCAACATGATCATTTTCTATGCCAATGGCCATCCGCCAGTTTTATGTGTTTCTTGTCTGCAAACGCAATCAGCGGGCGGGCGAAAAAACATATTACAAATCTTTTTCATTAATTGTGTAACGTGTTCTTGAATTTATATACTTTAGATCCCTCGGTAATAGTCGTCAAAGTGAGTTATGGTGCAAATAGAATCACTTCGGGGACATATTTTGATAAATATAGACAAGGAAAGATCAAGCTGACCTGTTCTTCGATGAGTGTGTAAAGTTCAGAGGTTCTAAGCACATCAGGGCTGAAATTTCAACAGCGGAATTTGGGGAAATTGAGACAAGAAAACGTTATATTCTTTCAGGTAGAAATGAAAATTCCAAGATTGGGAACACACGGACAGCCTAAGCTGATACGTTGGAATAGGCATTTGTCTGAAATATTCCCATTGAAAGGACCATCGTCAGACATTTCAAGAATTCATCTTACTTTGCCGAAACAAGTAAGATGAGTGAGTGTGAGTGAGTTTTATTTCAGCAATATAACGGCGGGGGGTACCAGAAATGGACTTCACACATTGCACACATGTGGGGTAACAGTGACGAGTTAACGCTTTAACCACTAGGCTACCCTACCACATCGGCAGTAGCAGGAGCCGACTGATGTGCATCGTATTAGGATCAGTTAAAATCGTTTGGTTTATCCCGCTGTGAAAATGTCTATCTTGTCCTACTGGTGTGAAACAATATTCCAGATCTGTCATGGCGGGTCAACGTAAAGTGTAAAGTTGGAGGAAACAGATCAAAACTGATAAACCATAAGCCGTAAGACAAAGCTGGAATTTGAACCAAACATAAGCGGATCCTGGGGCAAATCCGCACAACGAATCTCGACAGTGTTTCATGAGTTACAAATGTCGTTCATTCACAGTGATGTACTTCCCAAGATAAACAAAATTTAGATGGCTGTTTTATTCTATTGAACATCTTTATAGTTTGGGCGAAGCTGAATAGACTGTTCACAGCAATCTTGTCATGGTGTGATATGAATCCGCCAACTACTGATAATGGAGATACATAAGCTGTACAATGCTTCCCCAAACTTGTTTCCATCACGATCTCCACAGGTCAAGTGGTAGGGCCAATGCTAAATCTAACGTTACACGTTGTGGCAAAAATGTGAGCGAAAACTGCACTGTACAAACTATACGAACATATATCTGAAGACATTTTCAGCAAAAACAATTGCTCTATTTATTTCCATTCGAAGATAAAGAAGCACAATGTTCATAAGCAGGATGACCTCCCTGATACAGCAGCCTTGACAGGGGTGTTCTGATGCAGAAGACGGTCCCCCAAGCACACCAGGTAGCTGAAGTAAAACGTCGTGTTGTAGACATCATGTTGCAAACGCTTACTGAACATGGTATGAATCATTGTAACATGTATTAAAAAATTAATGGCCGAAATTGGGAGTTTGACCAGGATTTCATCTTTAACATGACGTGTCAGATTACCATGTGAACTGCAGGGATTGGAGACAGCCACGGTCGATGGGAGAGTTAGTGAGTGAGTTGGATTAATGCCGCTTTGAACGGTTATATGACGGTAATGTTGGAGGAAGACCCGAAGTGATTCAGGTCTAAGATGTTTATCATTTTGGTGGAACCAAACGTAATGCGACAGGAGGATTCGAACCCAGGATTATAGGTTTCACTGGAAACGATAAACACGATAAACAGCAGCTACGTAGACCATTGGGTCTCCTGGGGGATATAACGTCAGTCCCAAGCGGGGAAGGTCGGAGGTTTGATCCCCGACTACGTCGTGCCGAAATATAGTAAATGATGGTACTTGTTGTTTCCCTGTCTGGCCCCTCCCCATAATACGAATAAAGCACACAGTCAGTCAATCACCTAACGTTACAAGTTAAGGTTCAAAAGTGATTTGGTCCCTCTATGAACCCTATTTACACTTTAATCTCAGGCTCTAATCAGCCCTAAGGATAACATGATATTAACTGTGAATATAATTTCTGTCTGAACTCGCCTTGACCCATTTTCTCCAGATTGGATCTTGATTTTATCCAAAGCAAAGATGTCCTCTCCACCACCAAGCCAGAACCCGGTGAACTTGATGTACTTTACTTCTATGGAAGTTATGTCCCCTACCTCGACAGGGGAGACAACCACCCGGGAAACTGTAGCTTTGGGTTTCAGAGTTTCGTCCCTACAAAGAAATAAATAAAGTTATCTGTTGTGAAAACAAAACTTTTGAATGTCATTAACAGATAGATGGACATATTTTACACGTTTTCTCAAGAACGTTTTATGATATATTAAAATGACGAGTGTGCATGTTTGTGTAAGTAATGAGTCGGAACTGAGCCAGCACTGTTCTCTCACCCTGTGACTGTAACGAAGCCGCTGTCTCCCCACTCCCCGATCAGCCTGATGGCCAGCTTCCCCTTAGTCTCCTTAATGCCATCAGGAGACGTCAGCTGCACGCCATAGTTATAACCTACAACAGACGAGGAGCAGAACCACTACAAACTGATGGAGAGTGAATTTGCCTGTCAAACAATAGGTTGTGTTACACGCATCTACAGACACACCGAAGGAACAGTAGATGTACTGGACCGATAAATACTTTAGTTTGATCCGAATCGTCAAGTGAATTTTCTGTTTTCACGTCCGAGTGATTATAGGTATTTTGTATGTTCAATAAAAGTGCTTATTCTCCATATAAACCCCGTGTGGTTTAACCAGAATACCGTCAGAGCGGATTTTAACCCAGCTTACTAAATGTTGTTATTACAAATGTCCACGTGAAATACGATGATTCGTTATGCAGTATATTGGCATGTAGGGATCATGACACAACTAAAGGGGGATAACTCAGCACAAATTACGTCCACCGGTAGGAAAGTAAGTACTGGTACCACAATATGGCGACTTGGCTCCAGTGTTGAAGTAAAATGAGCCGCGGGCCTTGTAGTCGCTAGCGTAGAACCCGTATTGCGAACAACCCTGATTCCCGCAAGTCAAGCACCGACCTCTGTTGAAAGTATTCTGTAAAACCAATAACAACAGAACCTCAGCATTCATCATTCCTCTTCATATGCCCGTTTGGTGTAATGAAACTCAAGGAATTACAAATTACACGTAGCACTGACTCATATTTCCAAGCAACTAACTGACTCACCCACACCATCAGAATGTAGTTCTCACAGCTGTTTACAGTCATGTTACAACCTTACTGGGACACACAATAACATCACAAGCTTCATCTGTGTAACAAGGGTGGATAGAAGTAAGTACTGAGGGGGTCGATATGCTTTTGGGGGTGCTTCTAGATGGTCAGTGTAATACTACGTCTGGAGGAGCGAACAATCAAGTCCACACGTATCATTGATCGGCGCACACACACGCACACAAACAAACACGCTGTACGCACAATGCATACTTACATAGTCTGAGCAGGGGTATGCTGTGAAGGGGCAGGATGTAAGCAAGGATTCAGTGTAAAACCTGTGTGACCGACCGTGACTGCAGGCAACAGCTTTAGCCACATCTAAAACACATATGTCGGAACATGCAGGTATGAAGGACTCTGTCACAATGAACCATTATCAGTCACGCTTAATCGATCCTCTTCATAAATATGGTAAATCGACTGAGATAATGCGTCTAAAAGACAAGTTCACGAGTGTTTTCATTTCTACAGTTGAGAAAATATAAGGTGACTTTTTTATTTTCCTTGTGTATTTTCTCAGATGTAAATGTCATATCGGACGATGGGATATCGGTCATTAATTAAGGCTTATGTAACGTAACATTATTCAAATTCACAAATAATTTCCCAAAACTATTGGATACCTCCGCCTCCGAAGAGAGATTGAAAAGTTCCTGACAACGAGCTTGCCGGACACCCGGGCTGGGTCTG